CTACAAATGTGCCACGCCCACTTCACATTGGTGCGCCCTGTTTAATTTTCAAACCGTGGAGAACCCTGTATGTTTATTGTGTGAGTGTAAATGTGCTTTGGTCAATTTCTATTATTATGTTAATGATATGCAAATTAGACCGCCACAGTGGTTTAAATTCCTGGGGAGAACACTGAACAACATTATGAAAAAAACAAGGGAAAAGGGTATAAATTGGGTAAACAGTCAACGATATTCCAAAATCGGGCTATGCCCCCACAGGGATCTCGCCAGCCCAACGCGAGTGCCGGTCGGTCATGAATATTAATGAGCTATATGAATATTAATTAGCAATGAATATTAATGAGTTTGGTCGTAGCAAATATTTTTATTATGTTTCACAATTTAGATGAGTTTGAATTTAAAAATTAAATATATTCGAAATGCAAATGCTGCAGACTAAAAAACAAACAAATAAATTATTGTTGCAATATTAATATATATCGTAAAAAGTTAAATAAAACGCATTTGAAACGTTTTAGCGAGGAATATTTTCACGATCTTATTTACTCCAAATACATTCTCCTTCAAAAAATCGACCACGTAATTATTTGGAGTATTGTTGTAATTTATTATTCGTATCATCAATTTCTAAAACGTATATATTCACAGTAATGAACGAACAAATAAAACTTCCGAACTTTCAACGTTACGACGTGACACAACTTACTTCGCGATGTTATACCAATAATTCCTCTTACTCAGTCATGATGCCAAGCAAAAAATGTTACTTCGTTTTTTTGATAAGAAATAAATGTAAAATTTGACTTAATTTTATCGGGAGTGGATATTTTTGAACACTCGATCGCTTCGGTAAAAAACACAGCCCGCCATGATGTTTGTGACTTATTAGTTGATCGGCACGTGTCCTTTGACCCGATGGGTCAATAATTCCATTAACCAATCAGAATGCCGCATGGTAATGCCGGTAGAATCCGAAGTTTTCCGAATGGTAGTGATCGTAAAAATTACATTGCGGAAGTAAAGCGATGTCGCAGGACGTGCTGACATCGATTTCAGTTGAAAACTGCACGATGATGATCGAAGGAGGTGATTAGCAATTTTTAAAAGGTAAAATAGGTCTTGAAAGAAGAGTTTTTACATGAATCGCGATGATAACAGTTCAAATGTATTTTACCAAATCACGCAATAAACACATTGATTTTTTTCTTGAGTAGCGTAAACTGTCAGATCGTGAACTCCGCTTTGACCATGTTATATCGGGGTGAAATTGATTTTGAAAGAATTTTACCTTTCAATCTAAAGACTAACACAGTCGAAGACACTATCGCAGAAAGTATTTACTTACAAACAAAGAGGTGCTAATTTCACAAAATTGACTAGCCGCTACGTATCGCGCGACTAGGTCTATTGTTTACAAATTATAATCCACGACTGACAGGATGTGTGTCGGTCGGCACATAATTATAATAACAATCGGACAATAGTCCTGGTCGGAAGCATTTCCGTGGTGGTCGCTAATTTTGAGTGCCGGTCGGGGCCGACAAGCGTGGCGAGATCCCTGCCCCCATCTCCCGTCACCTTCAATTTTTTTTTAGGCATTACGGGTGTTGCCGAAATGGCACCACCAACGGGAGGATTGTTTACCATATTCAATATGCACGCGTTTAGTAAACCAGCATATACAACGAGCTACCACGATCGTTATCATGGGGGAAACCCTGTGTTGTTGGCGGGTGTAGCAACACACGCGGCGATCGCGCAAGTCTTTATGCGGCGATCGCGCAAGTCTTTATGCGTTCCCAAAAGATGTGGAGTATTTCCGGTTTTGGTACATGTGTCACTGACGCGTGACAGCTTTGCAAAGTAACTGTGTAAATAACCAGAAAAATAATATTTCCATGTAGAATATGAATATTAATTTGCTTGCAAAGTTTAGAATGAATTCATGTTATCGTGGAACAACAAAACACAAAATGGCGATTGAAAAATGTAAGCACTGGACACATTCACCGTTCACGTATTTTGTGTCTTTTACATGATTTCATCAGAAGATCAAGAAACTGAAACTGAAAATTGCATTTTTACAAAACACTGATTTGAGTTGCCAAGCTGGTCACGATGTTCAAACTCATTTTGGGGAGGTACACAGTCACCCACATCATCGCATACTTTTCTCGCAGGTTCAAACCTGTATGGGCCAATTTGTCCCTGGCACTCTAAAATCGTGACATCTGTAGTTGTCATCATATTCCTCGATCTCAAAACTCTCGTCAGACGATGATAACATAGGTTCCGTGTCGCTTTCCGAGCGCTACATGCGTATAGCAGCCATTGTAAAACGATGACATTTTCCCGCCGTGATGTCATAAATCACCCTTGTATGCTAATTAGGCTCGCTAGCGAGAGCCTCGTTCTGAGTCGGCCAAGAAATTGGACGTGAGCGTTTCCTTATACAGAACATTATCGATTTTTTTACTTAATTTATGTACATTTTTCACTTGATTTTTTTTTCATAATGTTGTTTATAAATAAATTTTGCACACAAAAAAGTCAATTGTCCCAATTCAGTTACACTTTAAAATACACAAAAATAAAGTTGAGTATAAAACTCATTTCTTTACTTAAATAAATATTTTATGCCTGGAAACATAAAAATTAATAATATTAATGTACCAATGAATGATTTTAGGTGAGAAAATAGCAGCCATTTCGCAGGCACTTTAAATTCATTTCTATGTGGATAAATTTCGCTAGTAAAATAAAAATAAACCTGAAGTGTTTTTTAGTGGATGAAATTTGATGAGTTTGTTAATATTTGCATTGTGCTATACAGGTTGTGTGCTGTCCTGTTGTCACCATGGAAGGAGAAACAAGTCAACCAGAAAAGAAACAAAAGAAAGTTGAGAAAAAGAATAATTCATTACCTCTGTGGGGCAATGAAAAGACAATGAATTTAAATCCGCTGATTTTGACAAATATTCAGTCGTCTCCGTATTTCAAAAATGAGTTGTTTAAGTTGAAGACTTACCATGAAGTGATAGATGAAATATACTACAAGGTGAGTTGAAGGTCAGTGCACTTTATTATTACTTATTCTGAAATTTAAAATTGTTAATATCAATGTTATATCAGCAAATGGGTTATAATTCCTGTTCTCCATTCAGACTGCTCTAGTTTGCACATTTTCCAGTTTATGCATCAAGCAAATTTGTTAACATTGTCGTATTATTGTATGTTTTTCTGGTACCCCTGAATCATTTCCATCTTTATTGCCTGTGTTTATTTCCCTGTTCAGTCCTCTCTGAAAGGGAAACTACTCTACTACAATGTCTGTGTGCAATTTTTGGTTTTAATAGAGCAGTACAGTATATACTGTGTGTATAGTGTGTGTATATTTCTATTTTTAACTGCATTCCATGTGACTGTTACACTATAGGTGGGCCATTTGGAACCCTGGGAGAAAGGAAGTCGACAGACAGCAGGACAGACCGGCATGTGTGGTGGGGTGAGTATGTAGTCTTTCCTGTACAGTGTTCTCCCCGGAAATTTTCCATAGAGTCGCAGCTAATTTGCATAATACTTAGCATTCAATTTGCATAAATTAACATTGTTTGGGATGGGTTTCTGTCCTGGTCGGTCGTCTGTCTGTCTGTCTGTCTGTCTGTCTGTACACGACTTCTTCTCAAAAACCGCTGAACCGTTTGACTCGATTTTTGGTGCGTGGATGCCTTGATGAGTGTAGATGGTACTTTGTTCATGAGAAGTCGATCTGCCAAAAATTATGCAAATTAGCTCCCCAAAACTCTAAAAAAAATTCTATGCTACTATGACACTAGGTGGTCTACAGTGTTGATATTGGTAGTGCATGTGCCTTGGGTTGTCCTTTATCAGTTTTGTTAATTTGGTAAGGAAATTTTCAATTTCCTAATTTTGGCAAATATTTTAAAATGGTCGTTTTTGGTCAAAAATTCTATTTTCGACTTCTTCTTCAAAACCGGTAGCCTGAATGCTTCGATACTTAGTGTGTATGTATGTGTTGTGTTGTGTTGACATCTACTAGATTTGTTCATCCCATAGCCATATCTTCAATTCTCTAATTTTGGCAAATATTTTTGTCATTTTTGGTTAAAAATGGAATTTCAACTAGCCACTATTTCAAATGCTTTGGTGTTAGGCATACATGTGTTTATTATTCCATTGACAACTTTGTGTAGTTGTTTGCCGATATTTCATTTAAAAGTACAAATTGTTGACATCTTCAATTCTCTATTTTTAGCTAGTATCGTAAAATTCCTAATTGAGGCCGCGGCTTTAATTAAAATTCATTTTTTCAATGGACGAATTCAGATGCGTGAAGTCTTGGTGCGGCTTTAATTAGAGCATTCACTTCAATATAGGTCACAACTGAGAGACAGTCGTCTGACACAGTCGATTGTGTTCGACTACTGACATGTTAGACTTCCGGCAGAGTGACTGTTCATTCCATGTTTAATTTAGACATCAGGGAAATTAAAATAAAAAAAGTCAATAAAAAAAAAATCAAGCTGGGCAGAACCCTGAGTTAGGGCTGCGGCTTCTATTAAAGCTGCGGCCTCCTGGTATAGGTCACAACTGAGAGACAGTCGTCTGACACAGTCGATTGCGTTCGACTACTGACATGTTAGACTTCCGGCAGAGTGACTGTTCATTCCATGTTTAATTTAGACATCAGGGAAATTAAAATAAAAAAAGTCAAAGTCATCAAAAATAGTACTTTTGACTTGTTCTTCAAAACCAGTAGTCCAAATTCTTTGATACTTGGTACACATTTAGCTTGGATGACACTTCACCCAGTCACTAAAAGTGCCAAATTTATCAAAAATTTCAGAAATTGTCGGGAAAATGGACAAACTTGAGAAGATTATACAATGATGGCATATTGAAATTATATGCTCACAGGGAGATATGTAATGTTTCCCATTTGTTCTGTCAACAGTTTCTCATTCTCACATAGCACACGGGAGTTCTAAGTTTTCTTTGATTGGTCTATTGTGATTGTAATGAAAACATAACATTTACATACCAATATTTAGGCTATTTTGGTGATATCTTGAGAACCATTTAATATGTTTTAATAAAACTTGGTGCATAGATGTGTTGGGGCAGTTTCTAGATATATTTAGTTTTTGGTGGAAATTTATGCAAATTATCTAATTTGCATATCAGCTAGTGAAATTCAAGCTATTTGGGTACTATTTCAAGAACCATTCAACATATTTCAACAAAACTTGGTATATACATGTATTACGAATTCAGATAATTGCAAATATGTTATTCTCTCAACACGCTGGAGTTCTTTTTAAGCTCTCTTTGATTCTAATTTTATTGAATATTTCTGTTATTTTTGTAAAAAAATTCCACTTTTAGCACTCACTGCCTTTTGGGGTATTTGTCACTAATCTTTTGTACAATAGCCGTTGAGCAACAGGCTATTGGCCTATTTTTTTAGCTCCGCTGTCGACTTTGTCGAGCGGAGCTTATCATATGAGTGATTGTCCGTCGTCGTCGTCGTCCGTGTCAATGTTTTACTTTTTCGACTTCTTCTTGAAAACTACAAGCCTGAATGCTTTGATACTTGGTGTATATGTACCTTGGGTAGACCTCTCTTAGGTTTGTTCATTTCATGTTGATATCTTCAATTTTCTAATTTTGGTGAATATTTTTGTCATTTTTGGTAAAAAGTGATATTTTCGACTTCTTGTTAAAAACCGCAAGTGCAATTGCTTTGATATTACATATATAGGTACTACATGTGGACCTCTCTCAGATTTGTTCATTTTGTAATGATATCTTTAATTCTCTAATTTTGGTGAATATTTTTGTCATTTTTGGTAAAAAGTGAT